TATCGATCATGTAACAAAAATGAGATACACAGCGGTTAAAACTCAATGATATGGTTAAAGCGGCTTCATTAGTAAGTGACTGACTCTATTGGTTGATGAAAGATAGGTAAGTAAATAGCAGAGTGTCACAAAAAAATCATTTATCAAATATAATTATTTATGAATAATGACAATGTGAATAGATGTGAAGCGGAGATGTTTTTGTGAGCGAAACACATTATGATGCAGCGGGTGCTGATAACACACGCTAGTTTAGCAAAACTTTTTAGTTAGGAATAAAGCGATTATTATTATTATTTTTATTGTCATGAAAGATTATCAATGTTATAAAAAATATTTAACAGTGAGAGAAAAATGAATAAAAACAGCATTATAAAAATGGTTCACGCTGATTGGTTTAGCCACAAAATAAAATTATCCAATCAGATTATTCAGACTATGCAACAGCTGAATATAAAAATGTGAAATGTGAAAAAATCATCAATCTGATTAACCAATAGCATAAACTGTTGATTTTCAATAAGCCTACATTTATAACTATCATGTTGGGTGTGAAGCGATTGACCCAACGAACACATTGGATAAGTTCGCGGTATCATAGTCGATTGATCAAAATTAGGCATAAACATGGTTAGATGATGGCTAGGTATTCTAAAGGGTTAAGCGTTCGCTCGCGATGCTCAATGTCGTTGATGAGCCACAGACAAAGGACGAAAAAAGTCGTCGAGTGCTTCCATTTATGGGAAAAAAATGAACAATTGATTGAAAAATGTAATTGATAAATAATTTATTACCAAGATGATAATGACGGTGATAATTATTGATGATATAGAAAAACACCAGGATAACTATGTAACACAGGACATAGATTGTTGAGTTTCAGTGAAATCATGAATCGATCAACTCTAGAACACCATGATAAACTTGGAAACACTGGAAGGCCGTTTGGTTATGGTAAGGGATGCATCAACAACTCCTGCCAATCGCAGGATTCATATTCGAGACTTCCGGTCTTGCGCTTGAATGCTTAACCTCTAGACCACTTAGGTGGCATCTAACCGTGTTAATGTCTAACTCTAATCAATCTAAGGATTTTGCGCAACTTCATTCAGTGTCTTCGATGAGCACTACTACACACCCGAACCTTGTTGAACTCCACTAGTCACGACTTCTCACTAGAACTCGGAGAAACTTCCTCACGGAGCTAGTCACTAGTGAGTATTAATCAAGTGTTAGACTCATCAACAATAATCTCCTGAGTCTTTGTATATGAAGACAACGAAAAGCGACGTTCAGTGCTTCCAGGATGTATTTTTTTAAAATGGTGGTCTAACCATGATTTTAACTAGCTATTTAACACATAAACCTGTTGGGGACGTTAGATCCCCAAAACTCGCTTGATAAATGCCTTATTTTGGTTTTCACGTTTGCGAGTATGGGCTGATCAGTTGACCTTGAGATTTCATTCCCCACCACCAAAATCCATGGCTGTGATTGGCCGCTGTTTATTTTAGTGTGCTATTTTCTTAACTGTCCCAAGGACGTCTCTATGATGTATAATAAATAAACGAGAGTTGTGCGCTTGATTGTACTGTGATTGCTGGGTGTTTGTAGAATATACTTTCTACGCTTACAAAGCCTTCTTACTTCAGCTTGGGTTTCAAGGTAGCCTACCTGGACCCTGGTAAAAGTCTCGTTTGCGTTTATCGACTAAGGTAAACTCGTAATAGTAGCCTCAAGGATACTTAGTGACGAACATAATAAAACCGACCATTCAATGGAAATTTCTCGAAAAAATTCGATAAATGAATGTCAATCAAGATAAAAACACAACGATTCATGCATGAAACTCGTATGCAAATAGCAAAACAAAAAATGAAAAAAATCACATAAATGAAATTGATTTTTTGTTTTAATATATTTAAAAATATCAGTAATTAGGTAGTATGTCAGTGTATTGGAATGAACTGTTAGTTATTTAGTTAGTTAGTTACTGAAACTGTATAACTGCGAATTCCAGTAAGCATTCATTACCTTGAACAAATTTCAAAGCCCATTCATTGACTTCTAATAACTGAATAATGTTGGTGTAGATGCAATGACCAAAAAAAGTCGAAATATATATTGACATGAATTAATAAATTGGAGGAACATTGAATTCAGCGGGTCTAATTTGAATCACAACAAAAAAATCATCATTGAATGTGTGCGGTTAGATGAGATTTTTGTGGAAAATAAGTGCCGTGGACAAAAATCAAAATCACATCACTAAATAGTCATGCAACAAGAAGATTATTTCACAATATATCAGTGTACTACTGAGTTCTATCCACAAAGTGACATATAAGTAGTATGCAGTGGAGCATGGCTCAAAAGTTGCTATCAGAGAGAGAGAGAGAGTGAGAGAGCAGTGTCCAGAGAGTGAAATGTATGGCGTGATCAAGGTATTTTGAAAACCAGAAAAGAATAGTCAGAGAAGATAGTCAATAAATTGTTTAGATTGTAAGTGGATACTGTAACACTGTGTGTGTACAATTGTGTGTTGTCAACACTGTCTCCTTCCCCGTACTAGTACACTAGTACACTGACACACTCATCAACACACACACACAAGTTAATACGTGATGTACTTCTAAACAGTATACAAGTAGTATACAGTATATTCAATTGAAATAACCTGTACTTATTTCAAAGCTCTTACATACATACATACGAAAATTACTTAGTAATATATTTCAGAGTTGAGTGATAGTTGCTGATATACTAAATAAGTAGTATATTTTATTCGAACTCTTTTGTATGACATAGAACATTTCTAATATCACCCTTCATAGCATAAATTTAACTATTTACTTCACTAATGGTATGTGTGAATCCTGTGTGGATTATACTGTTAACTTTGCATTATTATATCACGGAGATCGTAGTCTGACAGAATGAAATCATGAATTAATCACTGTTAGACTAGCATTAGAAACTTGGAAGCATTGAATGGCCGTTTCGTCATGTTATGAGGTTGCACGAAACCCTTACATTGATCAGAGTTGGATGCCACCTGTTCAGTGGTCCAGATATTAGGCGATTGCGCGCAAGACCGAAGGTCATCGCTTCGAATCCTGTGGGGAACAGGAGTTGTGGATAAGCACTGCTATTCAGTCCTATACCCGGACGACAAAACGTGCCGTCCAGTGTTTCCAGGTTTATCGAATGATGAACTAACAATGATTCGTTGATGATGACGATCTCATTAGGTCACAAGTAGTTGTTTAATTAGAGAAGGATGATGGATAGCAGTGAAATTTAGGATATGTGTTTCATTCTATTCAGGATGCTTTCAGCTTGGTATATACATATAAATTCCAAAGTCGATGTTCAAGCGGAGGTTCAAATCCAGTAGTGTTCGCTTCAAACTTCACTAAATTATCCACTTAGCTACATTGGCTTATACACTGAGGTGTAGTTGAATTAATCAGTTTTGATAGTTTGAATCTTTCCATCAATGTTTAGAACTACAACTTGTCATTTGCTTGAAGCTAATGCACTGAGTTTGAGTCCTTTACTGAACATCAACTCTGGGATGAAAGAACATCTAACCAAGGAGTCCAAAATAGATCGAAACACGCCTCCCAGATCTCACAGAAAGTTATCATTTATTTATGATTAATTTTGTAAACTACTTATTACTTATTAAGTAGTGTAAAGCATTTGTACTAAACATTTTAGCAGCCCATCGTTAAGGCAGACACATGGTAGTGGAGACTGATGTATGAACTCATTTAAACTTGCACAAATTTTTTTAGAAAAACAAACACAACAATGTGAATCTCATCTAAATCATAATTATGTTAAATTCACATCAGAATCAATCAGAGTGAGTGAGTGCAATCAGCGATTACGAATAAAAAAACACAACAATGACATAATAATCACAGCAAACTTTTGTTATTAAATCAATTGGATAAAATATGATGTGCATCTTTTTAAATAGGAATAAGGGAAACTATCGTGCAATTACTGTTATGTAACAAAATAGAATATATATCTTTTCATTGTAACAAAGTATTCTTCATATATACAGAAGGTCCGAAGGAGAAAGATGTCAGTT